TAGTGATCCATGATTCACTGTTTTCATGTAACACCCAGTGCTCCATGTAGTACGTGCCCTCCTTAATACACATCACTGGGCTAACCCATCCCCCACCCCCTCCCCTCTAAAACCCTCAGTTTGTTTCTCGGAGTCCATAGTCTCTCATGGTTTGTCTCCTGCTCCGATTCCCCCCCCTTCATTTTTCCCACCCGTATGCATTTCTAGTATGTTTAAAACTATAAATTTCCCTCTAATGCCTATATAGCTATGCTAAAAACTTTTGTTAATGTTTTGTTTTCATTTTTATTCAAGTTATTTTCTAACCTGCCTTATGATTTCTTCTTTGACCCAAGGTTATTTTAAAATGTGTTGTATAATTTTCAAATATTTAGAAATTCTCCCATGTTTTTCTGTTGATTTCTAATTTCATTCCATTGCTGGGAGGATATATTTTGTATGTTTTCAATCCTTTAAAATTTGCTTAGACATGTTTTATGAACTAGTGTGTGATCTATCCTTTAGAACATTCCATGCACACTTGAACGTGCATTTTGCTGTTGTCAGATGAAACATTCTGTGTCAGTTAAGTCAAGTAGTTTGTATTTGTCCATTTCTCATTTCAATTCTGTCCATTTATGTTTCATGTATTTTGAAGATCTGTTAGGTGTACATATACATTTATAATTATATATTTTGAAGATCTGTTAGGTATACATATACATTTATAATTATTGTATCTTCTTAATGTATTGACTTTTGGTTATGAAATATCCCTCCTTCTCTCTAGTAATATTCCTCTTCTTAAAGTGTATTGTGTTTAACACAGACACTCAAACTCTCTATGATTAACTGTTTGCAGGGTTCATCTTTTCCCATCCTTCTACATTCAACCTATTTGTGTCTATGAATCTAAAGTGTACTTGACTGTTATAGACAACATATAGTCAAATCTTGCTTTTTATGAGATTTGACAATATCTGCCTTTTGACTAAAGAGATTAGTCCATTCATTTTTAATGTGATAATTGATATACCTGAATTTTTATCAGTCATTTTGCCATTTATTTTCTATATGTCTCATGCTTTATGTCCCTCTGTTTCTCCTTTATTGTTTGGTTAAACAAAATCTTTTAGTGTATAATTAAATCCCTCTATTGATATTTTAAGCTATATATTTAAAATCATTTTCTCAGAGATTGCTCCAAGGATAGCAATAGGCATCTTTAACTTAGGTTAATACTGACTTAATTCCAATAAAATCAATTGCTACAATATAGCTTCATTTCCTCCCCCTTGCCTTTGCACTATTATCATCATATATATTGCATTTACTATGTTATAAACCCAACAATAGGGTCATAATTATTGCTTTAAACAATATCATATTTATTAAAGAAATTAAGAGAGACAATATATATGTTTGTGTGTTTATACACACTTTTATTCTTTTAATTATATATATGCACATATATACATATATGAATAAACACACAGTCTTATATTTTCCTCCATATTAACCCTATCCGTATTCTTCCATTCCTTCCTATATATTCTAATTACCGTGTACCATTTTCACTCAGCCTAAAGGATTTCCTTTGGTTTTCTTATAGGGAAGGTCTACTAGTAAAGATTTCTCTCACTTTTTGTTTACCTACAGATATCTTTATTCCACTTTTGTTTGGGAAGGATTGTTTTATTGGATATAGAATCATTAGTTGATTGGTTTCTTTTTTGACTTCTGCCTTTGGGCTTCTATTATTTTTAATGAGAAATCAGCCAGTAACTATATTTTTTGTTTCCCTTTTCATTAGGTTGCATTTAAGACTTTCACTTTTTCATTGTCTTTTAACAGTTTGACTGTAACACGTCTGTGTGTGATTCTTTTCATGATTATACTACTTGAGCTTTGTTGAAACTTTTAGAGCTATGCATTAATGTTTTTCATCACATTTGGGTAGTTTCAACCCTATTTCTTTCAAAAAAAATTTCTATCCAATTCTCTCTCCGCTCACTTTTTAGGACTCCCATGAAATGTATGTTGGTACACTTTATGGTTTAAAGTATTTTAAAGCTTTGTTCACTTTTCTTTTGTCATTTTTCTCTGTCTTCTTTGGACTGGGTAATTCTATTGATCTGCCTTCAAATTCATTGTTTCTTCTGCCATCTCAATCTACTGTTAAGTCCACCCAGATAATTTCTCATTTCAATTATTTGGTTTTACAACTATAGAATTTTTATTTGTTTTTTGTAATCATAGTTTCTATTTTTTATTAAGATTTGGTATTTGTTGAGTCATTGTCATCATATTGTCCTTTGAGTCTATGAACATGGTTTCCTTTAATTCTGTGACTGTAATTTTATTAGCTTCTCGAAGTCTTTATCTATCAACTCCAATATCTGGTCCCACTCAGTCAGTTTCTATTCCTACATTTTTCCCTCAGCAAATCTCTTTGCTTTGTATCATGATAATTTGTTGGAAGTTGATTATTTTGAGAATGTATTGTAACAACAAATCTGTTTATTTTTACTACTTTTTAAAAAGTGATTTGCCTGGATTTACACTGTGGAATCTTTCTCACTGCAGTATGTGGTTACTAATACCTCCACTCATCTTTTAGTTCTAACTTTTATCTTGTAGCTTGGTCTTGCTAGAGGTCACCCCTGTGCTTGAATAGCTTAGTAGTCAACTTATGATATAGGCAGAAGTTATGCTCAAATACCACAAGCCCATTAAGGCTTCTACCTATGTATATGTTGGAAAGTGCATTCAAAGCTTCAGTGGGTTCTCAAATTTGCCTTGTATTTTACTTTCTGCTAGGCTCATCCAGTGTCCTATGTGTATGCACACAGTTTCCCAGTAAGCCAGAGAATTGTGGAGAGCTTTCCTAGCCCTGTTATTTCTCTCTTATTTCCAGCGTACTAAGTATTAAATTTCTGGCTAAGATACCCTTTACCATATCTGAGACTGCAATCTCAGGCCCATAAAGGTGCAGATTTTTCTTATTTCTTTCCTACCAAGTTTAACTATTTTAGGTGACCTATCTATGGGTTTTTATCTCTCCCTATCCAAACCAAGTCCACCTCCTCTGACAGCAAAGCTGCCATTTTCCCCAGCAAGTCCCATACTGGTCAAACTGCTGTTGCTCTTTCTAACCAAGCTGGGGTGGCTGGAGAGGTGGAGGCTGGGGGAAGGGAGGGAGAGGGGGTTTCAGGGAGAAACCTCATACTCTGTTGGTCTTACTGAAACTATAGCAGTTTTTCAGGAATAAATGCTTCTCAATGCTTTTGGTTGATTTCCAGAGTCCTGAATGAGTATTTTGACAATTTTATGGAGAGGATTCATTGGCCATTGCATGCTGCCATACCCACTGGTAGCATATAATTTTGAAAGAACAGAAAACCATATGCTCCAGATCCTTTGTTTTTCATAAAAGGATACACTAGATATTCCTTGAAGCCCCCTTCTAAGCCTATGATTTCACAATAACCTCCCCTGACTAAAAAGAGAAGGAAAGTGGCCCAGGCAATTTTGTATCTGAGACTGTTTCCAAAAGCCCACTCTATCTCTAACTATTCAGGAATCTTGGATTTGTATCTCTTTGCCTCATATGTGTTTTTCAATATGAAAAAATACACTATTTGGATCACTGTTCAAGCATTATAAATGGGAAATAATTTCTAAATTATAGCAAACTCTCTAAAAGAGGCTTAAGAATTAGAAGATATAGTGGTATCTGTTGGGGAGGATACACTTTAAGCATATTTTACAATTTTGGAAAGATTTAAAATTTATTATGTGAATTAGATAAATCAAGAGTTTTAAAGTCTGGGAAATGACAATTTTTTTTTTTCATTTTTAAATTATCTTCAAAGGATTTGTGCTTAAAGAGTATTTTTCTTCTTTCTTTTCTCTTTATCATTTTCTTTACTAGCATATTCTTCCCTTAGTGAAGGCTGCTATAAAAATCTAACACTGCATTATTAAAAATAATAAGTCATTCCCCTTATACACCAACAGTTTTAATTACCTTTCCTTTTCTAGAAGTGAAACACTATGAGAGAGAGCAAGAGAAAATAATTTGCTTCTCTAAGTCATCCCATAACACAACACATAGGCTTAAGATGGCTAAGACATCTCAAGGTTTTAAAAGATGGATAAGTACTCTTAACTGGTATGAAGAAAGGTTTCTCATATATTTCTTATTATGAAAAGTCTCTTTTTATTCTCCCTTATGGTCCTCAAGATGCAGAAATGGATTCTGCCTTTCTTGATAATGCAAACACTTTCTTTGCCTTGTTCAAGTTATTTCCTATAGTGCTATTTCTGTCATGTTCAATTTTCTATATTGCTATGATAGCATTTGCTACTGGTTACTAAATATGACAACATATTTATTCTTACAACATCAGAACATTCACTGACCTGATTCTTAAAAACTACCAAAAATAGTGTGGAGGATTCCCTTCTCCAAACCATGGTATGGTGGTTTGGAGCACCAACCATCCCTGGTAAACATTATCTCAGACAACAACAACCCCAACATTATATGCTTATTGAGATACTAAATTGAAGCTTAATAGTGTTTAATCACTCATCTTAATAGTAACCAAAGAGGAGTAAGCCCAATAAAAAGGTAACCAGTGGACAGTGTAAAAACCTAGGACAGTACAGAATTACATACACTTGGCATATATACAGCAGGAAATATTGGGTTATTCCTGTATATTTCTAGATAGCATTTAATAATTTTTAAATGCCATCAATTTTTTAACTCAAAAATAGAGGGGAAAAAAAGAGCAGCTTTTCCCTGGTCCTATATTCAAGGACAATGGTCGAACACCATTTCGTTTTCTAGAGGTTTCTGCCTTCCATTTTCCTGCTGTACATGGTATAGCATCAACCCATAGTTCTTAAGATTGTTTCCAGAAGAATATGTGAAGGGAATGAAGTAGGATCTTTAAGTGAGAAGAAAATCCCCCTCTCTCCCTCTAAGGTAGGTATAAAAACATTGTTCTCACCTGATGGAAGAGAGGGCTGTGTGTCACAGGGATTCCCAACCCACTAAAGCACATTCCTAGGACCATATCGTCGGGGGCATCATTGCTGTAGCAGCGACAATTACTGGCGAGAAGTCTCCTGATTGCTTCTCTGCTGAAGACCATTCTAGTGGGAAGCCAGAGCAGACAGAGAAAGGGGTTAGGGCAGCAGCTCCTCGAGACCTTTAATCTAAATAAAGAAATATAATTCAGAGGCCACATTCTTGATAAAGATGTTGACATCAGCAGAGTTTCATATTTCATAGTTACTCTGGGGGACATGTTTTGTGCTTTCTATGAAAGGAAAATTTACTTTGAAGAAGTGTTTACCTATCTAATAGGCAATTTTATTTCTTTATATCATTCTTGCAAATGAATACTATACAATGTTCTTTTCCTAATATGCCACCAACATTCCCAGCAAGTAGATGGGCCCAGGTACCTCACTCATAGGTGATGACCGACAGTGAGATCAAATCTAACTGAAACAACCTTGCATTCACTGTCCAAGTGATTCCAGTCTGTGGATGCTTCTTTAAGGCGATTTTGAGAAAGAGAAAGGAGAGAGAGAGAGGTTGACTTGCCTCAAATAGTGCTATGATGCTACTTGACCTGGTATGTTGGGTACTTTCTGGTGGAACTCATGCCCAGTCCTGCCATTCTATGCCCTCAGATTTGCAGGAGGCTGGAAACTGTGAAACAATATTTTCCAGACTCCCTTGCCAGCGAAGACCCGGCTTCAATCTGTCCATGAGGGGCACAATACTGGGGGAGGCCATTGGCTTCGGGCACTGGCAGTCTCTGTGGCAGAGGCCGGCGATGCTGGGTAGCCCCAGGCTCCAGGGCCAGAACCACAGCAGCAATGGGGAGCCAGTGCTGGGACTGGCTCAGATGCAGTGCTGAGACCCAACTGCAAGATCATCCACAGCAACCCACACGGACAGGCTCCAGAACACAGCCTTTGCCTTGCTCTTCCAGACTTTGGGGCAGTACCAGCTTTCTGTAGTTAACTGAGCTCTGGGGAGAGCCACCTGTCCCGTTTTATCCCTCTGGCCCTTTCCAACCCTTTCACACCAAGTTCCTGCAATACATCCTCCTCTTTTTGAAATACAGATTGGTCCTAAAATATAGGGCCGGTCTGGCCCTACGGTAGTAATGGATCTTCTCGTAGTATGATTAATCCAATAGCTGATAGGGCTGAAGGGACTAATACGGTTCACAAATTCACTCCCAATAAGCAACGACTTCCTTGAAGGCAAAACTGTCTATCACTTCACATATTCCCAGAGCCAAATGCAGGGCCTTGCACACAGTAAGCACTCAACAGAATTTGATGCATCAAACAAGTGAGAATAAAGCTGCCTTTACAAAGATCTTCTTCCTGGGGGAGGGGAAGGAGTTCTATGAATCAGTCTAGTGGGAAGGAAAAAAGGACAAAGACCTTGAATACAATCCCTGATGTGAAATGTTGATTCCATGCTCAGCTGGGGGCTCGGTTCAGTGTAGTTTAATACTAGTGACCAAGCCCCGGTGATGCAACACATACACAGGGCACTCTCCCTGTCCCCACCAAGATGCCAGAGAACACGGTGAAACAAGACCAGACAAGAGGAAAAAGCAGCTCTTTATTTAAGCTGATACAAGAAAATAGGACTGTACCAGAGGAAGAAACACAGTTCTTGTGAACTCTACCAAAAGGAAAACTGCACATTTGAAAACTCAGCAGAAATCCTCTTTCTCTCAGAGTCCAGTGCCCACTAGGGGCTGGGATAGCACCTTCGTGCTGAGTCAAACCCCTGTTCATCTACCCGACCCCGGGAAAAGAGCCTACATAAGGGGACATGCACCTGCTGGAGACAGACACTTTCCTTAAAACATCTATCTGAAGCCACGTCAAGGGGAATTTCCTAAGTAAGTATCTGCAGTTGACCTTGAACAATGCAGTGGTGAGGGGCCAGCCCCATGTGCAGTTTAAAATCTGATCCTACTTTCCCCTACAAGTTACCTACTGATAGCCTACTATTGGCCTTACTGATATAACATAAATAGTCGATTAACACATTGTGTGTTATATGTATTATAAACTGTATTCTTACAATAAAGTAAGCTATGGAAAAGAAAATGTTATTAAGAAAATCATAAGGAAGAGAAAATACATCTACAGTACTATACTATATTTATGAAAAAAAATCCACATATAAGTGAAACTGCCCAATTCAAACCCATGTTGTTCAAGATCCAACTGTATTTGTATTCCAATCAGAGCTATAATCCTTTTTCTCTTAAGCCCAATTTAATTATATCAAACACTTTATTTTTTTTTCTTTTGTCAGCATCTAATAGAATGAAAAAGAAAAGGAAGGCCCACTCTTTTATCCTGGCCCACTCTCTGAAAAGTTAACTTTGCAGGAAGATAAAATGTAAGCATAAAATCTTTATTAGTAATTTTTTTTCTATTTTTCCCTACTCATACAGAACAGTCTTACATTAATTATTCACACAAACTAAGTACACACGAGCCTTTAATAACACTTGCTTATTGGTGTGCTGATGGGTTGTTTCAAAATGAAGAGTTCCCCCAAAATGGAAAACTACTGGACATATCATGGTATGTCTGCTCTGCCTGCCAACTTTTAAATATTAAAAAGATGTTGAGAGGCTATAAGACTAATAATGTGATTTCTTTTAATATACAATATACTAATTTTAAGCAGAAGAAAAACTGAAACGGGGGGCAGGGGCTTGCCCAAGGCCGTGCACGTGCAGATCAAGAGCACATACAGAAGGTGAAGGGCATCAGAAATGCGCCCGCCTCTCCCAGTCTTCCAGCAGATGAACTGGTCAGGGCTGTCTCCGGGTGACATTGTCCTCAGCCCCTTCAAGGAGGCTGCCAAAGACAATGAGGACACCCTGATCATAGCTTCCTACTCACAGGAGTAAGCAACGAAGTGAACACCAGACATTTGCATTAAAAAAAAATGCAAAGGTCTCATTTTCCAAACAATACAGAATATCTACACATAAATCACTGTGGAGTCTACACTCCCGATTCAGCTCTGCTTCGTGGGGCTGAGGGGAGATGGTCGAAGGCAAGGCTTTACAAAAACTTAACTTGACGGTAAACCACAGTGAAACACAAGAAACACATTTCATACTACAACCATTTACATGTGTTGTGTGTGTGTGTATAAAACTGAAACAAAATTTCACAAAACAACACACACCCTTACTACATGTGATACACTATGATATTTCTATTTTATTCTATTCCATTTTATATTTCATTATTTTTAAATGATGGTTATGATCCATTCATTGGTTTTATAAGCCATTAATTGATCCTGACTTGCTGTTTACAAAAAAATCATGTTGGTTCTTAAGCTGGATCATCAGAAAAGTCTACTGAGAAATCATTTAACATGATGTCTGCAGCTTTCTTATAAAGGTTGATATGAGACAATCTCATGATGAATGTTTCTGCATCTTTGCAAAAGTGCTATGAAAAACAGAATATTACAACAGTCGTTAGCTATACAAAGACCAAGGCTCAGTGTTCATGCATTTGTTTGTTCATTTATTCATTGTACCTTGTAAAAAATGAGTCCCTATGCTAGGAAGTGAGGATATAATGAGAAATGAGATACAGGTGCTGCTTTCAAATAATTCATAATTTAGGTGGAAAACAGAAAGGTAAATAGGCAATTAAATGATAATGGTTTGCATAATATGCTATGAAAGTATATTTGAAAGGCATCAAACGCAGATTTGAGAGGCCAGACTAGGCCAAAGGCTTCCAGGAATAAATAATAGCTATATTGTGTCCAAAAAAAAAAAAAATGAGAAGGATGAGCCAGGTGACAAAGACAGAAAAGTTGGGGAGGGGACACAGTGCTATGTAGAGACCAGTGGATGCCAATCTTGGGGAAGGGGAAAGAAGAAATGCCTCTGAGGAACTGAAATAAGATGAAGGTGCAGATGAATGAGGCTATAAAAGTAAAACAGCATCTGTCAAGGTCATGAGAGGCCTGGTAAGTCTTGATGAGGAATTTGGACTTTATTCTAAAGGTAACAGGAGGTTATAAAAGAATGCAAAGACTTTAATTTCCCATGGTAATAAAAAAAATCCAAATAAAATTAAAATCACATTAACCTATGGAATTGTTGAAGAGATGGATGATATGAAACCCAGAAGAACTAATTTCTAGAGAAAGGAATCCTTCCCATGCGGGGAGCAAGATGTGGCAGCTTTCAGGGACAAGCTGGGTTAGAGAGCAGGAGGAAGGAGACACGACCCACCAGAGAAATGAGACCCAATGCAGTGGCCTCAGCAGCACCCAGAGAGGCTGTGGACCCGGCAAACCAGCGGTGATTAAAATGAGGCCTAGGGGCACCTGGGTGGCTCAGTCGGTTAAGCGACTGCCTTCGGCTCAGGTCATGATCCTGGAGTCCCGGGATCGAGTCCCGCATCGGGCTCCCTGCTCAGCGGGGGGTCTCTGCTTCTCCCTCTGACCCTCTTCCCTCTCGTGCTGTCTCTCATTCTCTCTCTCTCAAATAAATAAATAAAATCTTTTAAAAAAAAATAAATAAATAAAATGAGGCCTAATCTCAGACCAGCATGACTCCTGTAGGAATCCGAAAGACTGTCTCAGATGCCAAAGGTAGGAAAGAATTCATGCTCTTGTGGAAGAATAAAAGCAATGGAGGCGAGTGAAGGCCTCTGAGCAGGGGGGCCACAGGATCGGACGTGGCTGTAGAAAGGTCTCTGTGGCTACAGTGTGGTCGACAGCAAGGAGCAGAGGAGACGAGCTGTGGCGGGAGCGCACATGTAAGAGGTGGGGTGGCCTCGACTAGCCCTGGGGAGGTGGAGACAGAAGTGGCGTTTATGAGACAAAACTGACTGGGTTGACTTCAGGGTCCTGGGGAATGAGGGAGAGAAAGGGTAAAGCAGAGTCCCGGGTCTCTGGGGCGGGAACTCGTGATTCCCTGAGGCAAGACAACTGGGAAAACACTAAAGCAGGGGGGCCAGAGTCAGAGGATGAGGTCAGGATGGCAGTGCTGGGTCTTGTCACCCCAGTGGACGTGGCCTCGAGGTCAGGCAAGAGCTGTGGGCTGGGGATGCCTGGGAAACACAGCCATGTAAGGGACAGGAAGAAGGACCTGGGAAGGCATGATCAGAAAGGCAGGAATACACAAGGACAGGACACTGTTCTGGAAAGCAAGAGAAAGGAGCCTTTCAAGGAGAGGCGGTCACCCTTCTCAGAGGCGGCCAAGAGCTTAAACAAAAGAGAGGTTGGAATCACACCACTGTATGTGGCTACATGGACATGGCCACAGACCTCAGCAAGGTGGTTTAGGTTGAACGCCAAGCACGGGGGTCAGATGGAAGTGGGGAAGCAGAGATCATGAATCGTGGATTCTGAAGATGATTTAAGGGGGAGGTGTGGTGGCAGGAAGGAGTTTTGAGATGGAAAACTGGAGGTGGCAGGAAGTCCACAGTAGCAAGGTAGAAGTTGAGCATTTAAGAGGTTAAAGGTGCTATCTTGGTGGTTACAGTGCCCACCATGGGCCTGGGAAAGGGAGCAGTGACACTCATGCAGTGTATCTGTCAATCTGGCACTAGCCTGTGAGCACCCAGAGGGAAGGAACTGTGGTCTTTGTTTTCATCCCCCAAGCCCACACCCAGGAGGCTCCTGGAGTGAATGAGCAACCAGCTGGAGCAATGAAAGGCAATGCTGGCTGGGTGCTGTCAAGTGCCATTTCCCGCTTCAAGGGCCAGTCTCAGACCTAACAGTGACATCCAACAGGCAAGGAAGACAACAAAATAGTTTTCTTGACAAAAAATCACTTCTATGTTAAAAGTATATCAACACCTATGTGCTACAAAATATACAAACCCATATTCAAGTAACAGGACCCCTTTCGAAGGTAGGAAGTTCTTACTCAACAGATACCATGCCCGGATCCTTAACCAGACCCAGTACCTCACCCACTGAAAACTAAATGCATTACCATAAGGCTGCACATAGCTTGAGGGTTTTTTTTCCTTTTTTTAATGAAGAGACCAATACTCCTTGGGCTTCCCTTTGGTGTCTTTTTGAAGGCCTACCTGCACCTGCATCTCTTGTTGCTAATGACCTCAGGAAGAGGCACGGCCACTGCTCAAGAAAGATCAGTACTCATGCCCAGGCTTAGTTATCACTATGAAAGAGTCATGTCCATAGCCATGTTATATTAACCACTGAATCAGCTAGGCCAAGCCAGAACCCCTGGAATGTGGTTCTTGAGGTCCTGCAGTAGGAACCATTCTGATCTAGGGGACTGCAAAGTAAGAACATAAATTCCTGACCCTTCAGATGTTTGGAAACCAGTGCCAAGAATGTTGCTCAGCACATGGTGGACATTCAGTAAATACCTGTTGGAATGACTTTAAATCACTATAGTTTATACCAAGTTAAGATTTTCCCTACATACCCCAATAGCAAAGACTACAGAAATAATAGAAAGGCTAATTGCTCAATTGATTTACCCATATAAATCAAATCAAAATCTTTCCCCACAAGAGATTATGCAGATACTTCATTTAAAGACATTGACTTTTCACTGTTATTTAAAACCTATAAATCCTACACAAATATCACTTAATTGCTTAAGTCTAAACTTCTATACTACTCTTCTCCAAAATGTGATTTATTAGCACTAGATAATTTAAAAGTCTAATGACTTATTTTCTGGCAAAATCTATATCCAAATTTCTTTTTTCATTTAACCAATCAAAACTAATTGGCTACCTAGAAACAATTATTCCTATAGGGACATTTCTACCCAATACCTTGACAATGATTTATATTTCTTCGTGGGGTAAAATATTCTTTAGTGTGGATTCTTTTCATATTTAGCAAATTTAATGTTCACTTTCCTATTATAGAAACGGCTGCCATTTACAGAGTGCTTAGATATCAGGCTAGGTCCCACCGCCACAGACCGAGCCCTGTATCGTGGAAACTGAAGTTAATGCTGACAGTATGTGCAGAAAGCCATGCTCATAGTTACCCTCCTCCTCCTGTGATGTAGCTGTAGCCGCCAGTGCCCAGGCCATAGCCGTACCGCTCTCCCAGAAACACTGGTTCGCTGGAGTCATAACAGCTAAGCAAGTGCTGGAGCCTGGAGATGCTAAAATTCCAAAGAGAACATAAGCAATAATGACTTAAACTCAAAAGTGTGTTCACGGTAAATAGTTTATGATTCTTACATCCCACTGGTCATACTATGTAATTATATGTATACATGTATAATTATAGTATGATAACAATATGAAATCATTTAGAGATGAAATTCCAGTGATTTACAGAAAAAACTGCATTTTTTCAGAAAAAGAAAAAAAGTCAGTGAACACTATATTCTTGGAAACAGGAGAGAGACTAAAAATCCAGGGGCTTACTTCCCAGTTTTAATAAGCCACTGCCAGAACATGGCTGCCTAGATTGGGTGAATAGGGTGGCAGGTTAATGAAATAAAGGTGGCCAATGTTTAGCTCACTTCTACCAGTTTAGCTCACTTCTACCAATCCTGTTTCTCAGTAAGTGTGAACTGTCAAATCTTTTCAGGTGTACTTGGTGGAGTAGGAGTGCCGACAACACCGACTCCATCTTTGGTCCTCCATCTTGTTCTCGCCTCTAGCACACAGGTGGCACCACTTTATTTATTTTTTTTTCAGGTGGCACCACTTTAGATAACTACCCTGTGACGGCACCACCACGCCCCTGGCGCCATAAAAGCTGGGGATTAAGGTCTGAATAGTGGCAAAGAATTGCTGCATATTACCGTCCCGACCGACCGACCGACCGACCGACCGACCGACCGACCGACCGACCGACCGACCAACCAACCAATCAACCGTAAGTTGTCCTGAGTAAAACTGCGTAAACAGGATGGAGTGGCCTTTGCTTCCATTTTCGGTATTAAAGTGCCTTCTCAGTCTGGAGAATACATGACTGAACCTCCTCCACCTCCTAACACTTGGCGTAGTGGGCAGGATACCGAAAATCAAACAAGCCATGGGTTAAGGGGCTATGCCGGGGGGAGCCTGTTGTCCGTGGGGGAAATCCCAAGCTGGCTAGCCACCACCCTGTGGGGAGACTCGGCCAGGTCTTTTGAGCATTTCAGACCAGTGTGTGAGTACAGGGATGCCCTAAAAACACCTATCTGAAATGGTAGAGAAGCAAAAGGGCTCAGAAAGGGTGGCAGCTTGGGTGTTATGACTGTAGGATACTGGAGAACATGGTATTACGGTAAATGGATTTGAGACATCAAAAATGGCCTAAGCCATGGCTCAACCCGCCTTGTGACAAAGATTATATACTGCAGGTATGGGTGAGAACTGCAGGCACTTAGCTAATCTGATTGGATACATGCTAGCATTAAGAAAACCTGGTTTAATGAGGAGGCTGTTCCCTCCCCTCCGTTGCACGGGACCTCTATGGAAGGTCTTTCACCTCTTTAGTTAAGTTCTATGGAAGAACTGGGGATGAAACATGCCATTTACACCCAGCATTTTGGTGGCCCAAATAAAGAATTACATTCCTCTTGTATGAATGTCCATATCTCACGGTCAGCCCCAGGGGCAGGGTATGGGATTTTAGTATCCGTTCTCGTCCCTGGGGTTAAACGTCCCATTGCTATAGTAGCCGCTATAATGGCAGACTTACATGAAACCGAAAGGGAAATAGATTGAAAAACAAGAAAAAATAAAGGATCCTCCTAATGATAAAATGGTGGAAAGGGGGCCTATCAAGAGCTCATAAACAATGGTAGCAAGATCTAATATGATCTGGGATTAGTAGAGAAAATACAAACAACCCAATTCGGTCTTGCTAAGCCTCTAGAAGGCATTGCCTAAGGGAAAGCAGTTTACTTCCTTGAAGGAAGGCTCTAAAAAGCCAGGGGTGTTGCCAAGTGCCCCCCTGCTACCTGGATACCACCTACCCCCCAGAGACTAGGAGGTAGGCCAGTGTTGCCCTCTCATGCGCGCAATAGGGGGCAACCGGAGGTCCCAGGTGGAAATAACCATTTACTGGTCTTGTGCCAACCAACAGACCGTACTAGCACTAAGAGTCACTGGCTGAATGCACACTTATCTATGGAAAGATAAGTATAGGCATTAGGGATACTAATACCAAATGTGAGTTGTGAACTGGATGTAAGTTCACATCCAGAAGGATTTGGCTGGGGCTTGTGGCAACAACAAAATGGGAAATCAATTATAGTTCTTTGTATAAGTTCAATAAGATGTTCTTGTAATGGAACATTGGAAACAGTGGTTATATTACCAAGGCTATGACCGGAAGGTCCTATTTGAGAGAGACCTGCATAGATTCTGATAGGGCCAGTTTTAAGGTGCTAAGGTTGACTTTATGGAGCCAAGGAAGCACCTTGAAAAAATTAATTCAACCTGGTCCCTGTTTACAGGGTTCCTGGGAGCCTTTACCAGGTAAGGAGGTCACTTCCTGGCAGTCTCAGGAACCATAGGATATTTTGGGGGGAACCTCAAGAAGAGTGGAAGTAACCCAAACTAAAGGTATTGCAGGCAAGTCTGATGGCAAGTATTTGGCTTGGCTTCTGGCCTCCAAAGGCTGTTAAAAGCTCAATATGAAATTCCTTATGAGAAGTTCCAACAAAGCAGCTTTAGAGGAACCTAAATGGCCAGTCACTATTCTTACTGCGTTTATGTAAATAGGCCAAAAATAATAATAATTAGGCCAAGTTTGTTAAAATTGGACTTGTTTTACAAACAATCTTTTTTTTTTTTTTTGGGCAGTGAGGGAGGGGGAAACTAAGTGGGGGAGAGGCAGAGGGAGAATCTCAAGCAGACACCACGCTGGACTTGGAGCCTAATGGGGCTTGATTTCATGACCCTGAGATCATACCCTGAGTCAAAATCAGGAGTCTGATGCTTAACCAACTGAGCCACCCAGATGCCCCCACAAACAACTTAATTTGGCTACCTTTGATAGAAATGAGGGTGATTTTAGAGAGGAAAAAGTTGATTTGGTGATTTATCTTTATGGGTGTTAGATTCTAGTTCTGATTGTCTTTGAATGTTGATTGTTTACTTCTAAAACTAGGCTGGACCCTGAATTCTTTTGGTTTTCTTGCATATATGGCTAATTTTCTACCTGACTGCTTGCACACTTATAGGCCTGACTTTGAAAGCCCACCAGCAAGACCACCTCCTGAAATGGGACCACTGTTCAAATGAACTGACCTAATTGGCCTTGTTATTAAAATGTAGACTAAAATGCTAAGACTATATGCAAGACTTCCAAAGTAATGGCTCTATAAAGGATGGGGGCTCAACTTAGTACTACAGAATCTCTGCAATTGGTTGAAGGGCGGTTTCATTCCTCAACTCTTGACCTGCATCCCTCTTCAGCAGGAAGTAGTTAGACTGGTCATCGCCCCACCCCTCAAGAATGCGGAATGCTGAAAAACCCGGAGTGGTACTGGTTAAGCTCCTGTTGCTATTTGTATTGCTGCTGCGGCACCAGGATGCAAGGCCCCTCTTGGTATCTGGTACTAGAGTAAATATTATATGGGCCATAACGATGTCAGGTGGGGAGGGCGTGGAGTGTAGGAGTGCTGACAACATTGACTCCACCTGTGGGACATGTGCTCACCTCTGGTGCACAGGTGGTGCCACTTTAGATAACGGGTAGAGCCTCTAGTGTACAGGTGGTGCCACTTTAGATAACGGGTAGAGCCTCTAGTGCACAGGTGGTGCCACTTAAGATAACTGCCGTGAGCCCTCCCCACCATGCCCCTCACACCATAAGAGCTGGTGAAAGGGCCGGATAGAGGCCTCGAATAGGGGTGGAGACTAAGAGTCTATTACGTCCGGGATCGTCTGTCAGCCCACCCAGCCGCCCGTCGGTAAGTTACCCAGAATAAAACTCTGTGAACAGGTATGGAGGGACTTGCTTCATTTTTTGGTATTAAAAGCACTTCTCAGTCTGGAGGAGACCTTTGACCCTCTGCCACTTCCTAACACTTGGTATCTTTTCATTTTTAATGACCCCCAAATGGATTTTTTTTTAAGATTTAGAGAGCAAGCGAGCACGTGAGGGGAGTTGGGGGCTGGGGAGAGGGAGAAAGAAACTTTAGCAGACTGCAATGAGCAGGCGTAGCCCAATGCAGGGCTCAATCCCACGACCCTAAGATCTCAACCTGAGCCGGAACCAAGAGCTGGATGCTTAACCAACTGCACTACCCAGGTGCCCCCCCCAATAATGGAATGTTTGAGGTACAAATGAGGTCCATGTCAGGTACATGGCTGGCAGGTGGGGAAAGGGAATTTGGGCAACGAGGCTTTCCAGGAAACCTTCCAATTATGGCGCACAGCCATGCATATGTTTCCCCGAGTAAGGCCACATGAGTTGTCTTTTTGTCTATTTATACCTCTGGTAACTATACTTCTTTGTACAAGTCAACAAGATAGCTTACAAAGGGCAATGAGAATATCTAGGAGCCGATCAGAGAAATGCCTGCAATGAGAGCTGCCATAAGGATGAAGGAAGAAAAAGACTTTGTAGGAAATTAAAATCTAGAAATAGCTTTTTAAAGGTGAGACAAAGGTTGATATTGAGAAGGGCTAGCTTTTCTGTGTTTGAAGAACTTACACCACTTACAGATACTTTATAAAGTCCTTCCACTGTATGTTCTAACTAGAGCTGGCCAGGTCACACTCTACCAAATCCCCAGTTCTCTCATGACATTAATCAGTGTTTCCTGAAAAGAGTTGTTCCCTGGTCAATTTCGGATTTTTTTTAATTGGCTAAATAAATTTCAATGTTTCTCCAGCCTGACGAGCATCGTGCATGTCCAAGAGGTGGATATATCCAGTATTTCTCTAAATTATTAATCATAAGTTCTTACAGAGAAGTCTTAACATCTAGAGGACTGGTGCTCTAGAATTTCATTTTTCTTTTGGGGGATAGGTAGGGTCTTAAGTCAAAGTGGAGGTGCATGAAGTAGAGAGGAGGACACCTTTCCAATCCACGCTCCTGCATCTTAAATAGCCCAGCTAATAAGCCTAAAGCTGAAAGTGAAGAAAATAAATTTAACGTGTGAAAAAAATTGCTTAAAAATGTGGTACTAAAAGTTCACAAGTTTGCTAA